GTTCTTTCTTTCTATGAAGGATCACTAAGTATGATCACCTCCAACTCCATCCAGTTTGCTATGAATTCCATGATTTTGTTCTTTTTTACGGCTGTGTAATACTCTATTATGTATTTGTACAACATATTTTTATCCACCTTTGATAGGCAGTGAGTTTGGTTCCATGTTTTCACCATTGAGAATAGTGCAGCTATAATCATGTGTGTGTGCAGGTGTCTTTTTTGTACAGCAATTTATGTTCCTCTCAGTGTATTCTCGGGAGAAGTATTGCTGAATCATATGGAAGGTCAATTTTTGGTTCTTTTAGGAACTGCTACACTGCCTTTCATAGAGGTTGAACTAGCTTTCACTCCCACCAACGAGTAGAAGTGTTCCCTTTTCTTCACACCCTTGCCAGCATCTGTTGTTGTTTTGATTTATTGATGAGGTAATAGCACAAGGGAGGGATTGGCAGTTGATGGACACTGCTGGGAAGGAAGGAAAGGAGTGGGCATATAGCATCACAAAGGTTACCTGGTCCTACACCAGGGGAAGTGAGGACCAGTTGTAGGCCCAAACTTCACCTTCACAATACCTGCTTGTGTAACTAATCCTGACTTTTACCCCACCTATCCATAATTAAAAGAAAAGCAGGGGGATGGCGGGGGAAGAAAAGCCATAAGTATTCTCCTATAGCTTTTACTAAAGGGCTAAGGTTATTCAGAAAAGGGAATACAGTATGGCTTCTCAGAAGAAAAGGCATATGAATTAGGAGAGAAGACCATTCTGGAAAGAAGAAACTGTGTGTGAGAAGGCACAGAGGCTCAGAGGTTATGTTCTGAGAAGAGTGAGACGTTCAGTGTGGCTGAAGGGGAGAGTGTGTGGAAGAAGATGCCGATCTTGCCTTATCTTCCCAGAGATGTTTTTGAAGAGGTAGGCAAGAGAGGCACACCTAATCTCCCTCATCTGTCTGGTGCTAAGGGGCTGGATGGGTGGTGAAGCAGTGGGAGCATCCAGCAAGCCTGGGGCACATTCTGACACATTTATGATCATTCCAATTTCTCTAACCATCAGCTTCCACATCTGTAAAAGTGGAACGGTGCCCCCTGCCCACAGTAATCTCTACTGAGATGTTGTTATGATCCTCAGAGTAAAAGGGCTCTGAAAACTGAAAGCATCAAATTTCAGACACAAATGCAAACAACCTCATAGTAATAGTAATGCCACTCTCCAGAAATTGGACACACTTAATCCAGATGCTTAAAGTCATAGGAGCTTCACCAACAAGTTTTGTTCAATGGGATTGGCTGTGAAACCCTTGAAGTTCCTGACAAGGACCCACTCGGTTGCTTGTTTTGTTACTTTTCCTTTAAGAGCTTGTGAGCCAATTTTCAACCAGGTTCTAAAGATCTGATTAGGGTCATTACCATCTCAGGCCATCTGGCCATGCTATTGTCAGAGAAAAGCAATGTCTTGAAGATTTGACAGGGCAGTAGAGACACTTGAGCAATTCCACTGAGAGTGTATCCTGCTCTGGATTGAATTATTTTCTATGCTATATTAAAGTTTCCTTTAAATCATAGCTAAAGTTGGTGTTATTCACATGCTGTCTGAAAATTTCCCATCCCAGCCTTTGGTGAAAATCAGACAGAGGTATTGGTGCCATTAGGACTGCACACTTTGTATCAGCCCAATATAGGTTTAATCTTCTTTACCATCAAATCAACATCAGGGTAGGAAATGTGTACTTGGGACACAGTCTTTTGGCTCTTTAAAAGGTCTATACTTAGCACTAGGTAGAGGTTGAACAGATAGTTGTTAAATGAAGGAATGAATAATCTGGGTTTTCCCAACAGTCTAGGTTGTTGAGTGGAAAGAGAGTAGGTTTTGGAATCAGTCTGATTAGTGTATGAACCCTAGTTCTGCAATTTTCTACCTAGGTTTTCTTCAGGCCTGTGTGGACTCCCCACAATGAAAAAGGAAGGAGAGAGGCAGTCAAGGGAAATGGCAGTACTAGTTTCCTATTGCTGCTGCAGCAAATTACCACAAATTTAGTGGCTCAAAACAAAATAAAAAACCACACACTTACACACGCACAGATTCAGACTGGGTGTGGGGGTTCACATTTGTAATCCCTGCACTTTGGGAGGTCGGATCAGGAGGATTGTCCAGGAGTTCAAGACTAGCCTGAGCAACATAGCAAGACCCCCATCTCTATTTAAACAAAATAAATTTCATAAAAAATCAAAGCCCATAGATTTATTATTCTACAGTTCTGGAGGTCTAAGGTGCAAACCGGGGTTCACTAGACTAAGATCAGGGTCTTAGCAGGGTGGTGGTCCTTCTGGAGACTTCAGAGGAGAATCAATTTGCTGTCTCTTCCAGCATCTAGAAATCACCAGCACTCCTTTGTTCACAGTCCTTTCCTCTATCATCAAAGCCAGCAGTGTCACATCTTTACATCTTTCTCTGACTCTTCTGTCTCCCTCTTCCACATTCAAAGACCCTTGTGATTACACTGGGTCCACCTCGATAACCCAAGCTGATCTCCCTATCTCAAGTACCTTACCTTAATCACATTTGTAAAATTTATTTTGCCATTTTGTCAGCATACACACAGGTGCCAGGGATTTGGATGTGGGTATCTGGGAGGCCATTATCTCACCTACCACAGTAACCATGCATTCAGTGGTGCACTTATCAGATTTGTCAAGCCACAACTGGAGCACCTCCACTCCATCACCGACTATGTATAGAAGAGTTCCCAACAGGAGTTCCCTCTACCGTGAGAAAGGGGCCAGTTGTCATCTTGGGAGAAATCTAGTTCTAACCTGCGGGGGACTCTCTGTACTTTCTATTAAAGGCTGGTGGGTGGTCTAGGCTCTTTGTAGGACTCATTTGTTTTTGTAAGATGGCACCAACTGTCCTAGCTCAATTGACTGCTCACATACATGGATCTGCACATGGCCAAAAATCTTTTCTCTAATGGTAACGTTGAACTGCTGCAACCCGCCTTTCAAATCTTGGTTAGGAAAAATGCTATTAACTTCTGAGAGAGGAGTAGTCCAAGCATACCTTTACACTCTGTCCAAAGATTGAGCCTGACCACATTCTTTGGGTGCCAGAATATTTGCTCTTACTAAATTCTGCTTTACTTTGATGATCACATTAGGAACACAACATAATAAAAAAAATTCATGGAAATAGTTGCATTTACTATAATAGTTTTATTGAGAATGTTCACTGCACTTCATTATAAATTTCTCATGAGAAACCACTGAGAAATATTCTTCAGGTCTCAAAAAACAGTACTAGTTACGGTTTTCCCTAGTAACTACTTTGTTTCTATCAAATGAACATTAGCCCTTGTGGATAATCTTTCTTTCCCCCTATTTTCAGTCTCTATTTGGAAGCTAAGTGACAAAATTGTTATATATCTTCAGCAAATCTTGAGGATACCATATGCATGAGCATTGACTTATTCTCCTAGACTTGTTTTCCCTTTTCCTCAGTTCCTTCATTTGTTTTGTTTTTTAGTTCTTATTGTTGGTAGTATCTGTAAACCCAGAATAAGGCATGGAAAAAAAACTTGTTATTTTTTTGAAATTTTTTTCTCTTTTGTGAGACACACACCTCTGATACATTCCCTTTTGTTTCAGAACCAAAAATAAAAATATCAGATGAAGCATCACAGGTGTCAATGTATAAACATTGACTCTCAGCAGAACTGAGTCCAGCATCAGTTCTGGAGCTTATGCTGATAATATAAAAATAAGTCTCTAATGCTTAGTATGCTGAGCACACTAAGATCATAAATGCCAGCATTCTAAATGGCTTGCTTGCTGTTAGAGATTCACTGGAACTGAAATCCATTTCTTTTCTAAGGGATGCTTAGCTTTTATTATATCTTTACTCATGGCCAAAAGACATCAGCAAATTTGCTAACGTGATTGAAGATATTCTTCTTAAGGCATTTCTAAAGTTTTATATCTTTGCTTTCACGGTTTTGGATGTAAGTTTGTGTTCTTAGAAAGGAAAAAAGATAAATGTGCATAGAGTTTTGATAATTGTAGAAAGCCAAGATTTAAAAAAAAATCGATGCTAATAAAATCTCTAGTGAAAATATCTTTGAGATAGACCCAGTCATAAGACTTCATTTCTTAGTTCATCAAACCACAGAATCACCAACTCTGAGAACTCTCAAACCCTATTAGATGGGTCATTAATCTCTATATCCATAGATCTAGGATATGGTATGTGTTTAATAAATATTTGTTGAATTCATGGTAATACCTCCCATTCTCAGAAAGACTAGAGTCCTACCCAAATTGCAGAAGACTGTGATGGGCACACAGTTCTTGCCATGTGGCGAGCACATGGTATGCACTGAATGACTAACGCTGAGACACAATCAAACCATGTAACAATTCTGAGTTCTATCATTGTCCAGACTAGCAGAGACACACAAACGATAGATGATACTACATGTGCAACCACTTTTATGGGTATACTTTTGTTGTGGTGTAATTTTCAGTGTGCTAGCATAATCTCTGTCCACCTTTCTCCCACTCAAGAAAGTATATCAGAACACAAATGAATAGGAATGTCATGAATATCTTGAATCTACTGCAATTTATTGAAGAAGTAAATCATTCGCTATTTTTCCTTTTCAAATAATAGCAGTAGTACATGACTTGTGAAGCATCTCACAATGACTGACACATTTCATCATAATACCAAGACAGTTGAGGATGCTTATCAACAGAAACCATTTCTAAGGCCCGCTGTGTCCTCACATCATCTTGGAGAGCTCCCAAAAGAAGAATACCATCTCTTAGGTTCACCCTCTCCCCAATGCAGTCATCTATATGGGCTCTGCTTTCCATCTGAGCTCTACTAGCACAATAGGGATTATTCCTACTAATGGACATAACTCACCTAAGAATCTCTTTGTCAGTAGGGTGTCACTCCACTTCACTATCATGACCTTAAGAAAAAGAAGTCACAAGCAGCCAACTTACCACACCACCACCAGCTGAGTGCACAAGCACAGACATCCCTTCCCGGAGGTTGGCAACTTCAAAGAGCATCACATAGGCTGTGACGAAGTTCATAGGGAATGCAGCAGCCTCAGAGAAGCTCATGTCATCTGGGATCTTGTAGACAAACTCCACTGGAGTGCAGACCACTTCTGCCCAGGCATTGTAATTGACAAATGCCATGACACGATCCCCAATCTGGGTATGGGAAAATACAAGGTTAGTGGACGCTAGCTCATGACAGAGGTTCAAGGAGGGACCAAAATTATTGGGCGCTGTCCATGTTACAAAACATCATTGCTTCTCCTAACTCATTTGTGACCTCAGTCCAAAATTTTGAATTTCACAGTCATGTCTTCTGTACTTTGATGAAACAAATTACTTTTAAAAATACATTTGCAGTGAAAAAATAACAAACTACTACTTAAGTTTCACAGGTTATATAACCGATTTTATGAACCACTTACAATTCTATATTTCCTCCCTACCCATCTTCACCACTACCCACTACTATGGAGAACCAAGGAGGTTGGCTGGTTGAGGACTCATTCCCTCCTTGAAATTCTGGTCATCATTTAGATGGTAGGAAGAGGTCTGAGCAGTATTAGTGTATCTAATGAAGGTAGTAAAATGTTATACAGTCCATTCTTTCAAAACCACCTTTCACCTGGCTAACTTGTGCCTTTCTAAAAGAGCTTTTCAGGTATTTTAGTCCCTATACCCAAGAATGAGGGAATTAAAGCCTCACTGAAGAATGGATTTCTCCTCATGAGAAGTTTTGCTATATGCACATTTGATCACAATAGAAAAGCTATGATTTACTAAATAACAATAACATACTAGACTGCAATTTTCATTTTATGTCAGTTATTTTAGTTAATCTACATGACAGATTTATGGGGTATTATCCCCATTTTACACATGCAAAAACAGGCTAAGATAGGTTAAGTCCTTTGCCTAAGGAAACACGGGCTAAGGCCTGTCTGAATCCAAATATCTTTCTATGATATCACAATGATCTCTTGCCATGTTTGTATATTAAGCTTCTTCTTGATCTTAGGTTCTAGGCACTAGAGACATAATTGTAAATGAGGTGCAGTCTATGCTTTCAAATTGTTCATATTCCCTGAAATTTTCATGTGGCAAGAGCTATGAGTGACAGGTCTTAGAGGCAAATTCACTTGGAAGGGATAACATTCTAGTAGAAAACGCATCCTTAAGCCAAAGGCATGAAACTATGACGTGATGTTTCAGATACTGGCCCAAAGATAATACAGTAGGTTTTGTTGGGGGGAGGACAAAGGATGCTAGTGTATATCCTGGTGGTAAGCTCCCTAGGACCTTGGGGATTTGCCTGGCCGGCCAGTTCTGTGTGTTTTGGAATAGAGTTGTTACATCCCCAGTATGTGACTGGAACAGTGTCTACAAGGACACAACTGTCCATTTGGCCGAGGAATGAAGTAGTAAAAAGACAACAGAGCAACCCTGACTACCCTCAGACCTGGAAACTGAGTTCAGGTGGATGAGATAGTTGGGCACAGCAATAATATTATAGGTGATCCTGGGCAGCTCTGCTCCAGCCACCAGGGATCTTGTCAGCAGAATTGGTTTGCCTAATTCAGGAAAGACATCTGAATCATAGAATCAAATTGCTCTGCCCCAGTGTGTCTTCCAGGGCTCTCCTGTCAGTAACAGAGGCAAAGCAGAGCCTGGTCTGCTCGCTCTGAGGAAGAGACAAGTCATTAATCAATGTGATGATCTGATCACTGGGCAAGGAGGACTTTCTGACTGCCTCCTCACATATCCTTTTCTTATCCTCGAAAACTCGACATAAAAATAAGCAGGTCTTCTCCTCCCTGAATCCTCTCTGAGGCTGCTGGAGAGAGATAACTCCTTGCATAGACTTTTCTGCATGTTATTTGTGGCTCCAGCTCTCACCAACTTCTTCTCTCCTCTTTCCCAAGCCCCTAGATGACCTTAGATTTCTCTGATAAAATATCAGCCAAAAACAAAACGTGTCATCAGTTGGTGGGAGTTCAGACAATGGAGAAAAGGAGATGGGAAGGCTCGGTTCATGTGCCTGTCCAGTACCACCTCCTGTAGCCATACTGGAAAATCAACAGGAAAAGCTTGGGAAAGTGCATGTTCATACTCTCATGCCCTTGTACTTGCTGTTTCTGCAGTTGGCATTACTTATTTTTCTTTTCCTTTACCTATTTTTCTTTTCCTTTTGGAAAATCTTTCATTTTCCTTCAATGCTCAGCTCAGACATCTTCTTTTCTCTGAAACTTTCCTTCATGAGCAAACTTTCTCCACAAAACCAGAACTAGCAACTTTTCTATTATTAGTATTTGTGTTTACTTAGTGCTTCCCGTCTGCTGGCACTAGATATATAGCAAAGGTAACTGTACTTAATCCTCACAACAAACCTTTGTGGTAGTTTTTATTATTATCCCCATGTCACAGGCTAGAAGCTCAGAGCTGTTAAATCACTTGCCCAAGATCACACAGCTGTAAGTGGTGAAGACAGGATTTCAACTGAAGTCCACCTAATTCCTTATACAATCCTCCATTGTTGTGCTGATCCCACTATACTGGGTTATCCTTTTATGTGATTGGCTACTCCTCCGAATGGGAGCTCTCAGGGAGCAGAAGTTGAGTCTTACTGATTTATGGATTCTCAGTGCATGGCCCTGTGCGTGATGCATAGTGAACGATAAGTTGATGGAAGATGAATAACCAAACCTTCTCTAATTTCTCCATGGATGAGAAATGAGGAGAATAAGGGAAGAAGTTCAATCCTAGAGAAGCTTCAAATAGTCTCATAGGAAGCATCCCTGGGACTGAAGGGGCAAATTGGTGTCTGAAATTGACTAGAACTTCAGGAAACACTGTGGGTAGAGACTTCTAGGAGCTATTGTTACTAATAATAATGTGACATTTACCAAGTAATAGTATGTTCCTGAATCTAAGATAAGGCCTTTATTTACGTGATCTTGCATAATTCCCACCAGAATGCTGTAAAGTTCTTGAGCTTTATGATTAATAATAAATGCTTACTATGCCCTTTATATAGATGGTAAAACTGAGGCTGAAAGGTGAAGAAATTTTTAAAGAGCAGAACCAGAACGCTTTCAGTCCAGATATGTCTCACTCCAGAGCTCTCCCTTATTCTAGTCAGGCTCTATCTTCTCAGTGTTGCTAAAACAAGCTGTTACTAAGAGAAGGCTACCTTGACTGCCATCCAGGGCAGTTTGAGGGCCCTTCTCTTATTCACCAAGAAAAGATACCGAAACAACAAGAAACACCCCTGCAAAGCTCAAGCTTGAATCATGAACATCAATGAGTTTTCTTTCCTTGGATAAATGTCTATTCTTGCTGATTTTAGGGTGATTTTAAGTCAGCACTTGTTCATCCGACTGGCAGCAGCCTCAACCAAGGTCATGGTGAATTCTCTTGTTGCTAATATTTTTGTAGACCAGAGAAACCCCAGGAGTTGCCATGCCTGTTGTCATCTCTTCCTGGCTTTAGGTGAACATTCAGTCAGACCAGGTATGGAAGCCCACCTCAATCCTCTTGGAACCATGAAAGAAAAGGCTGCAGTGCCTTGAACTTGGATTCTAATCCTGGTCCTGCTCCTCATAGCTGTGTGACCACAGGCAAAGTGCTCAACCTGTCTGTCTCTCAGGGATTGTCCTACATCTCTCAGAGGGCTCACTGTGAAGGTTGAGTGATGCAACATGTGTGAACTATATTCTGTTATATCCTCAAAAAGAACATTTCAATTCAAAAAGCGCCTCTTCCCTTCCATGTCACTCTATTGCATTATTCACTTTTACATTCTTCAAAGCATATATCTTGTCTGAAGTTATCTTTTTCATTCATATATTGCATCTCCATTGCCTGCTTCCTCCCACTCCCAATTAGAATATCAACTCCACCAGGCACAGTGGCTCATGCCTATAATCCCAGCTTTTTGGGAGGCTGAGACAAGAGGGTTGCTTGAACCCGGGTTTGAGGCCCGCTGGGACAACATAGAGAGACCTCCTCTCTACAAAAAGTTAAAAAAAGATTAGCTCAGTGTGATGGTGCACACTTGTAGTTCCAGATACTTAGGAGGCTGAGGTAGAAGGATCACCAAGGTCGAGGTTGCCATGAGCCGTGATTATGCTACTGAGCTCTAACCTGGGTGACAGAGTGAGACCTCGACTCAGAAAAAAAAGAAAAAAGGTCAATTTCACAAAGGCATAGGCTTCTGACAGCATTCTTTATTACTGTATTCCCAGTGCCCAGAACAGTGTAGGTATTGGTTGACAAAATGAATAAAGATACACAGAATTTCCTCAGGGATTCAAACATATACTTAAGTGTTCCTTAATCTTTTTTGAGGGATTCTTCAAGTGACCCTTAAAATCTGATGAAACCTATAGATTTCTTCCCAGAAAACCAAATAAAACAAAAACACCCTCAATATGCATACCCTCGCCTGCTTCCTCATTTTGAGACATCTGTGGATCCCTTGAAGCTCATCTATGAAAAGCTCCCAGGGGAACACAGAAGCAACCTGTTTCAGAGCTGAGGAAACTGAGCTCTAAAGAAGTCAATTAATATTCCCACACTTGGCAGATTTCCCTTTTAGGCACTCAAGTAATTTAATGTTTTCTCTGTAGCGCTTATCTTGGGTGCAATGAATTATTATCTGGAGTCAGAGTATCTGGATTCAAATCCTGGCCCTGCTATGCTGTAGCTCTATGATGTTATGATTTAATCCTTTTACCTCAATTTAAAGGTTTGTAAAGCCTGGGTGCAGTGGCTCATGCCTGTAATCCCATCACTTTGGGAGGCTGCAGCTGGAGGATGGCTTGAGCCCAGAAGTTTTAGACTAGCCTCATCTCTACAAATAATAATAATAATAATAAATAGCTGGAGTGGTGGTGCACACCTGTAGTCCCAGTTCCTTGGGAGACTGAACTGGAGAATTGCTTGAGCCCATGAGGTTGAGACTTCAGTGAGCCGTGATGGTGCCACTGTATTCCAGCCTGGGTGACAGAGTGAAAGTCTGACTCAAATAGCTAAATAACTATCTGTAAAAGCTATGATTATTTATCTATAATATGGGGCTATCACTCCTCTTCTCCAGCATATGCATTCAATGTGCAACACATCACACACTGTGGGAAGTCCATGCTGGAAGTTCACCGTGCAGGCTCCATCTTACATTCAACCTCTCTGTTTTGGAGAGTGTGAGAACTGAGCCACAAGGAAGGTTAAGGTCTTGCTGAAAGTTGTATAGAGTGCTGGGCTAGGAAGAGAATCTACTCTTGTTTATTTTCTGCCACTACACGTGGATTCCCTGCTAGTCTAGTTCTTGGTGGTATACGTGTCAAGATGAGTACTGGATTACGGGTTGCAGTGGATACGAATCCTGGTTACCTCAGAAGAGCCATGAACATGAAGTGCAGGAGCCTGAACAAGAGTGAATGCCAGTGGGTATGATGAATGGCAACAATTAACATTATGTATTTATTATTTATTAGATATGCATCATATGGCAGACCTCCCCTAAGGATGTCATGTGTTTCAGCCCAACTTATCTTTACAAAAACCCTGTGAAGTCATGGCTGAATGCTGTGTTCTTTTTCTATCAGTAGTTTGCACAGCCAGACACCATGCCAAACAAACAAACAAACAAACAAAACAGAAGAGCAGTCTTCCCTTTAAATGCTGTTTTCTTCTTTACTTATAAAAACAGGCATTGGGCTGGATTTGACTTAGGAATTATAGTTGAGGACCCCTAAGTATGCAGTGCCAGGTATGAAGTATGCTTGTTATAAAACTTAAACCCGTATCAGATCAAAGTTCCAAGTCTAATCTTTTCTTTTTTAAGAAAATACAGAAGATAAAGGAACAAGTTAAATGATATGTAAAATTCGGACAGTGGGACATTCTATAGGACAGATAATCTGGTTCCTCAATTAAATCAGTGTATGAAAAAAGAGGGTTAAAAGGAGCTCTTCGGGGGGGGATAGAGTCAAATGTAATGTTAGACTTAGAATTCCTTATCAAAACGTAGATCTGTGAGACAATAAGGAAAATTGAAATAATTTGATAATTTTATTCTAATTAACAAGTATATAATGTATGAGTGGAGATGAAATAATTGGCAAAATGTTGGTTATTGTTGAAACTGGGTGATAGATACACAGGGATTTATTATATTCTCTTTATATTTTGTATGTTTGAAATTTTTCATAGTAAGTTAAAATAAAGTTGGCGCTACCTCCCAAAATAAAAATAAAAATGTTATTTAAAATACAATATATTATCAAAGGTGAATACAAGCATATAAATAAGTGAACAAGTACTAATAGCTTGTATGAGTTGCCTAATACTAGTTACACTGAGCCATTCTGTTGTTCAGTATGTCAGCTGGTTTTATAATGGCTTTTAAATATATTATTCAAATTGTTCTGGTTATAGTGAATTCTCAATAAATGAATGGCTTTCATATATGTGTAGTTTGTTTATATTTTTTTAATTATAATTGATTCTACTATTTTGTTTTCCTAGTAGGTTAGCATTTCTCTTCTACTCTACCCAACAACAAAACTCTTACTATGAGATGGGTTCTCTAATAGCCTCATGTTACAGATGAATGATCACAAATTTTACAGACCTTTAAACTGAAGTAAAGAGAATAAATTACACAAGGTCATGGAGCTACAGTATAGCCAGGCCAGGATTTAGATCCAGATAGTCTCTGACTCCAGATACAAATAATTCATTACACCTGAGATAACTGCGACAAAAATAATAATAATAATAAGATTATATAAGAGTTATAGCAGGCAAACCCACAGAGTCTGGGAATATTAGTGTTGACCTCTTGAGGGCTCAGTTTCCTCAGTTCTGAAATGGGTATAATATTAGAAAAGGGTTCTTAATAACATAATATGTACACAATGTACGTAGAATGGTACATGGAGATGGGGAGAGAACAATACATCTGAGCTCTTAAAAAGAACAGATTGGTCCCTGGCCTGATGGAATTCACAGTTTAATGATCAGGAGCTAAATATAGACTCCCTATATTTTATGAAGCAGAAGGGGTAGCTGTCTAATAAAGAAACTGAGGAAAAAGAGAGTCTATCCCACTGTCAGTGAGTGTCTCAATTCCTGGAAGTGATGAAGACCAAGTGATGATTGTTGGGAATACCTTCTTCGATGCAAGGGTTTGAGTCAGAAGATAACTAGAGTCTAACACTGGCATCCTCTTCTTCACAGAATCATGAAAACCCAAAGACACAGACTCAACATTACATAGCAACTGATGGCCCTCTCGTTTCACACAGAGTATAATGAATACAGCATTTCAACCACCTTGACAGTGTGTTCATTGCTGTCATTGCAGAACTGACAGCTCCCAGGCCTCTCCTTTAACTTGGCTCCATCACTTCCATTTCATTATCAAACTAGGAAATATGTCTAAGTCATACGATCAGTTCCAGCTTCAGAGTCTAGAGGCAGGCACCTTTAAAAAAAATCCAATTCCCCTCATTATTTGATTCTGCTAAGAAAAGGAAATTGGTCCTGGGCGAACGAACCCAAATTACTCTTCTACTCCTGGGCCTCAGGTGATGACTTTTCCATCCTCCCTTGCAATAGATCAAACCAAGAGAGCTATTCAGCCTGCTGCTGCATGGAATTCCATCCCCAACAGGGCTGAAAATCTTAAGTCAAAATTAGAGAGGGAGTATTAGTATTGGTTTCCTCCCACATTATACCCTAATTGCAAATGTATAGGTGACTTATTTGTTTGTGCAGTCATTGGAGAGGAGACAGTTTGAAGGGTAGGTTTGGTATAAACAAGCCAGGGCTGACCAGCAGAAGAGAAATCATATTTAAAGGAAAAATATACATAATCAAGTATACAGGGTTCTCCTTCTAAACCAAGTCCAACAATGCCCCTGTTGCTGTTATATTCTAAAATAATTGGTTATTTATTCAATACTCAGGGTTAATGGAGTGAGCAGTATAATCATTTTTTCTTTGGGGCCATGTGGAAGACAGCAGATAATATTTTTTTCTTTTTCTCTTTCTCTCTTTTTTTTTTTTTTTTTTTGAGTCAGGGTCTTACTTTGTCACCAGGCTGCAGCATAGCGGCACAAGTTCACAGCTCACCACAGCCTTGATCTCCCGGGCTCATATAATCTTTCCAGTTCAGCCTCGAGAGTATCTGTGACTACAGGAACATACCACCATGCCTGGCTAATTTTTTGTAAAGACAAGGTTTTGCTATGTTGCCTAGGCTGGTCTCAATCTCCTGGCATCAAGAGATCCTCCCACTTCAGCCTCCCAAAGTGCTGGGATTACAGGCATGAGCCACCGCACCTGATCAATATTTCTTACATGCAGCACTTTCAGGGTGAGATAGTGTACCTCTGGTTATATTGCCTATCTGGGGACTGAAAAATGTAAATTCATATAATAGAAAAGAAAAGCTCATTTACTTTTTTTCCTCAACATTTTTCTGCTGTATTATCTGAAAAAAAGACCGATAAGTGCGATAGGATTTCCAGACATTCATCAGTATAAATTTTGAGACTATTGATATTTTCAGAGGATATTGAGGCTCAGACACACTGAGATTGAGAAGCAGGCTCAAATTCAATTTCAAGGGCATTTTGGCATTGCATTTTATAGGATTCTTCTTCACTTCTCCTTTCTCGTATTTATTACTCCAGCATTTCAGGGTTGTGAGTAGGGGTAAAGATCATGAGACTGTAGGAAGGATGAAAAAGTCTCTGGGGATTTGAATCCAAGTTCTCCTAGTACATACTTACTATCCTTTGACCCCACAGAAAATTACTGAACCCTCCTGAATCTCATCTGCAACGGGATGATAACAATCTCTACCTTGCAGGATTGTGGCGAGGTTGAAAAAAGATAACTTCCCCATGGTTCTGGTTATAGTGGGTTCTCAAATGCTCATTTCTCTCTAGGGGAGTGCTTAGTTATGAGCGAGAGCTCTTGTACCTGATTTGCATTGGTTTCTCTGACTCCAAATGACTGCAATTTTGTGCAATTGATTTGCCCACAGGTTTTCAGTTTTTAAAGACCCGTTTCTATTTGATTTGCATTATAATGGCAGGAAGGGCCATACATCTTTTTACAAACTGAAAAAAAAAGTTTTACTATGGAAAATTCTGAACATGTACAAAAGTAGTCAAGATGATATAATGAATACTTTTGCCCACTGTTTTACTCCTAAAGCCATCAATCCATGGCCAATTCTGTTCCGTTGTCAGGTACCTGTACTCTTCAACTGTAAGATCTTCATCCAAAAATGCTACTTCCCTAATTCCTGAAATAGTTAGCAATTCACAAATGATAACTTAAATGTATCAGTTAGGCAAATATTTACAAGAACCCAGTTATAAATAGAGAGTCTATTTATAAACTTTAGTGTTTTGTCATTGAATTTTGAGCTGAAAGTTATGGGAAAATAGGGGTTTGGATGGAAAAAGGGGCTATGCACACTTAACGAACCTAAAGCAAAAAACACTTAAATAGCTATATGACATGCATAAAGGGGGAGACAAAATTTGTCCCACCCACTTTACCAGGTTATTGCCCGGAGAAACCAAGATAATACATGAAAAAGGCATGAGACTTTTGGGAACTCCCCTCATTATAAACAAATAATACCAAATAAGAGGACAGCAATAATACATGTCATAGCTTATTTCAAACACCTTTTTGCATAATCTTTTATTGTCTCAATGGATTCCAGATGAATATTACGCTTTAAGTCAGAATCAAAACATTACCTCGTATCCTTTCACGCTGTCCCCCAGAGCTTCAACAATTCCAGAACACTCAAATCCCGGCACCAGGGGAGTCTTGGGAGGGTTGTCAATGTTCCCTTGTCGCACCATCAAGTCAATGAAGTTTAAACCACTGTGAAGGGCAAATGTGAAAAGAGAGACATTCAAAATGAGATCCAAAAGAAAGCACTGGCCTGGTTTTGTTTCTTCCCTTCCTTCTTCTCTGTCCCTCCCTCCCTTTTCATAGTTTCCTCTCCAGCTTTTTTCTTTCTGGTAAAGGATTCCTAATAGCTAGCTGTCACCCGTAAAACAAAATTCATATATCTCTGTGTAGATATGTAATAATTCTCTGGCAATGAAAATAGTAGTTGCAGAGTCTATACTAATTCAAAAAGATGGTCCCCTTACCCCTCTCAGTGCATATTTACTCTTATTTTTAAAACATATCGACTAGCCTGGTCATTAGGCATCCTAGCACTTAATCAAGGATAAAAAATATACTAGGAAGTTGTTAGAAACAGATGCATGGAAGGCAGCCAGACACAATGGCCACCAGCCAAAATATGAGAAAGAGCGAAGAGAAAGAAGACCTAATTTGAAAGGTCTCAGAACAACCAATCATCTCTCTTTAATCATTACACACTTATACTTGTACTGTGCATAAACAGCCCACATAATAGTGAATACAAGCCATTAAGAGATTATATTATGTTCCACTGGAGGAGGGTGGAACTCAAAGAGAGATCAAAAAGATGACCCAATGTATATGGGAATACCAGAGTATTTGTTTCAAAAATTAAAGTTATCTCTGGATGAGAGACATTACTAGGTATTTCCTGTTAACATATTACTTTTGAAATAAGGAAGTTATCATTAACACCTCATCCACAAGAGTACCTGCATAAATCAACATTTGTGTACTTAACCCTGAATTGTACCCCACATCTTTTAAATAAATAAATAAATAATAAAAAGAAAGTTATCATTAAAATATATCAAAACCATCATCACGGAAAATCATACACTTGATGTCAATGCTGTTACTACCAATGCTCCAAACTTTTTTATTTTTCAGAACTTCTCTTGGGATTTGCATTTAATAGCCATTTACTAATCATATGGGAAAACATATCCACTGAACATGCAGATGTGGTTCTAATGTGCTTCCTATTTTTATAAGTCACCATCTGAGAAAGACTTGAGTTATAGAAATTTCTCAGTCCGACCCAAGGTCTATCAGCATCCGACCACAGCTTCTTTTCCAAGCATGGTGACTTGAACTATTTCTCAAGTATATCTTGCTTATTTCTTATCTGGCCTCTTTTGGACCAAGGAAGCAAGTTCACTTACATCGCCTGGTTTCACTCTTCAGGTTCAACCACAGAGACTGGATGAAGTTGAGAAGGATGACTTCCTTGAAGGTTAGGTTCAAAAGTCACCTGCTTCTCAAAGTTTTCCTGCCCAGAATTCAGCAAGTTTCAGATACTGCCCCAATCAGTGTCTAAAGTGTGCCTTTCTTCAAGGCACCTGAGTGCCTCATATTTCTTTGCTTCCAGGGTTTCTGGCAACACGTCAGGACCAAAGTAATGTAGTAGGTACTAAATTAACATCTGCTGAATGAAGAAATAGTCATGGATATTCAAAAATATGTGCTACCTAATTGAGTACTAATTCCTTTTTTAAAAACTGTCAAAGAATGCTCAGAGTAATGCGTACATTTCTGAACAGTATGTGTAGACTCCCAAAGGTCCTGTGTTGATGGTTGTTAGCATTCGGGTCACTTATTAACCAAAATGTTCTCTAACAACATGGCCAGTTTCTTAAGAGCTTGGGGAATACAAATGCCAGTTCTACCACTTCTACCTATGTAACTTTGGATAAGTTACTTAACTTCTCCATGCCTCAATTTCTTCATCTGTGAAGTGCAGGCTATAACAATACCCATTTTTTCGCAGCAAATTAGATGGAGCTGTAGACCATCATACTTAGTGATCTATCACAGAAACAAAGAACTGAATACTGCATGTTCTTACTCACAGTGGAAACTGAACATTAATCACAATAGCACAAGGGAGAGATCCGCAGTCACTGGGCACTGCCCGGGGAGAGAGGGAAAGAGGGAGGGGGGCAAATAGCAATACAAAGGGTACCTGGTCCCAAAACCAGGGGAATGAGAGCCAGTTGGAGGACCAAATTTTACTTGCATGCAGCCTACTTGTGTAGTTAACCCTTTCTTGTACCCCACATCTCTATAATAAAATAGAATTAAAACAAACAAAAAACAGTACCACTTCACAAGGTTGTCATGAAAATCAGTGAGAATAAAGCATTTAAGCATGGTGCCAGATACATGCTAAGTATTCAATAAATGTTAACCTTAAATTTGCATATTCAGTTAAGAAGGTAGAATTGTGTTATATATTTTAGGAAGACTCTCATAAAAAGAGGGTTAAAATAGTTTCAGAGCTGATATGGAAAAGCTTCCGCTGTTGCTGAACTTCACTTCTATGAAATGGCCCATTTTGGGACACAGCCAAATAAATAAAGCATCACTGCATAACAATGAAAGGAATTTCTACATCCCAAATCAAGTACTCCATCTTATTTCATGCATATTTTAGCCCACTGTGTTTTTCTCTGGGTGAAAAATCAATGATTTCCCAAGTCCCTGGTGGAGAAATGCCAGAGAAAAATTATTTGACACTTCTGCAAGCATGGCAGCCTCCTGGAGAAGACTTCATCCTACACGTATCTTTCACTGCTCAGTTGGGCTGCCTTCATTCACCATCTAGTGTGAATTAGGCCTGGTGATTGTAAACTGAGAACCAGCCACTTAATTCCCAGTGAGAAGGGCTAAGACTGACATTTTAAAAAACCTGTAGCATACTATTGCCTCAGTGAGGCCTTCAGTGATTCTGTCAGATCATGGAGAATACTACCTATTTTCAGGAAGCAGGTATATCCTGGAGATGGGGATGGGTCAGTGTTATTTACCTCTACAGAGAGGGAAGGTGAACAATTAATAGAGCACCCTCATGTGTTGTATTAGACCTGTTTCTTGAGTCTGCTCACCCACCTTCTCCTGATATGTATATAGCTAGTATTTGCTAAGATTTTAATTTGTGGCAGGAACTGTGCAACTGCTTTACTTTTGTTATTTTATTTAGGACTCAAGGGATACTCCTGTGAGGTATGAACTACCACATTTATTTTTCAGGTGGAGAAACAGATCCAGAGTGATTAAGTAACTTGCTTAAGGTCACATATTTTAAAAATGTCAAAGGCAAGTTCTGAATTCAAGCAAAGTCTAGAACCCAAGCCCTTATACATTACCCTACTACTTTATGAGAACTTTGCCACCTACCACCCAGCTGTAGGGACACATCTGAGGACCATGTTTATAATTCCTTATCTCTTCCCCATTGTTGAGAGGTGACTGCACCAATGGTGGACCCAATGTTAGAGGAGTGGCCATTCATAATCTAGGCAGGAACTCATTTCTTACTATGAACAAATAAATTGGTCTAAGAATTGGGTGATCTCTCAAAAACTATGAATTAGGAAACGCGCAGCAAGAGAACAACTTAGATGTCAAAAGATAGAGGGATCTAGTAGACCTGAGCTTTGGGGAAGCATTAGGAAAAAAGCCAAGAAGGAATTAAAAGGAAAAAAAAAAACCCAAAAGAAAAGACCAGTAGAGACAACTCAACATCCTGCAGCAGGGCAAGGCTTTACAGACGTTCATCACTGAGTTCCCTAGAATGAGAAAGTCCAGTCTCTAGACTTGGGGAGGTTCAGCTCCCCACACCTCCTGCTGTCTGCTTTCTATGGGTTCCTTTGTTACTTCACACATGAGTTTATAACAGAACCTCTTTGCTTGGTTTTCCTGTGTGGTCTCTGTCCCATGAAAACAAAAGGTAGAGACTAAAACAAATACTATACACAGTTACACTCAGGCATCCATTGAGACAGACATTACTGACTCCATTTTTTTTCTGCCCAGACAAAACAAGTAACTTTGTCTGGAGATAAGAAGTTATTTACCCAAGGCTGCATGGACAGTGAGTGGTGAAGCCATGAACTTAAACTTGGGTCTAACACTTTTTTCCCACCACAACAGAAAGTAAACAGGGGCATGTCAACCTATACATCTTCACAATTACAGCTTCTAATGTTCTCTAAAATAATGTCATTTTTACCTGGAAATGTTTTTGGAGGTGGCTATGACTAGGCCTGGTGACTCAGGCCCACACTGGGGATAAAACTTTTATATAGCTCTTAAACATTTGAGATCATTGCACAAAAACTAGTGTTGAAAAGTGTTTGACATAATGTTCTGCTAAGTAATCCTATTTTTCTCCAAGATTGGTATAATTTTAATAAATAATGTAAGACTGTTTCAGTTTTCCTCCCCCCTACCAAATTATGAGTCAGAAGCTAGGTTTAAAGAGCTATTATTGAGACATAGCATCCCAAAGAAAAGAAAGCAGAGGTTTGAGAAAGCGGCCCTGAAAAACTCAAAACACTGGATGAGGGCTCTGAAGATATGTGAGAGAAGATACAGGTAAATGTGAGTATGGTCCCTTTAAATAATAAAACTTTCTTACATTAGCATAGCATAGCACAGTTTGCAATATGCTTTCATGCAAATCTCAATCTTTGTAATATGCTGAGAAAAGCAAGAAGTGTAGATATTAGTATTCCTATTAAATAGATGTGAACAGTGAGACTCAGAGAAGAAAACTGACTTGTCAAAGGCAGCACAATTAGTACATGACAAAGTTGAGACTTGAGTCAAGGTCTTCAAACTCCTTTTTTATTTGTATATCCCATGACACCATGAAATCTCCAATGCTAGTAAATCAAATGTTACTAAAATCAATAACTTCAAGATTCAGAAACAAGAAGATTAAGAGGAAATAGTGAAAAGAAACAGATGTAGGTACATGAGTTTTAGTCCCTGCACTGCCATCAATCAGCTGTGGCCCTTGGCTGAGTCTCTGAAGGCCTCCTCAGCTCTTATACTCTGTTCACTTGATGGTCCTTTATCATGTGGGCTTTGCTTCAAATTTTAACAAAATCAAAGCTTAAGTTGGGAGAGAGAGAGAGAGAGAGAGAGAGAGAGAGAGAGAG